CCGAAGAGTATCGGATAACGCTGCAACCCTTGTGCTCCTCGGTCGCCCTGTCTTCATTGCTGCTGCGAGTGCCGCCTCGTTCCTCTGTATTGACTTTGTTTCAGGTATTTTAGCTTCATTATTTAGGGCTTTGTTATTTGTGTCAAAGTTGCCTTCTTTATTGGATTTTATATCTTTCTCATGTTGTGATTTATCTAATTAGTCTTCAACCCTATATTATTTCACTGGATTTCTGTTTCTCCTTTACTTATTAAACGGCATCAATCCTGCCTCTCCTCGCGAGAATTACACATTTTCCTACTATCACTGTCTTTCGTATTTTGGGCTTTCATTATTTGGTACCTTTTTTAGATATAAATTTTATACTCTGTTATTTACATAACCAGTTATCAGTTTGTTTATCCAACGCACTTAACTGGGTGTGCCCTTAATCTTATTAGTGATCTCTCTCTCTCAATCTCAATATATATATATATATTTTGTGTATCAGTATCTCTTTCTGTTATTATTTTCCAATTATTTCCCTTGCCCGGGTGCCGTGGGGTGGGNTACCCTTTGCAGTAATCTCAACGTAGTCTTAATCTATTTGATCATAGAAGTGGACTTGACCTGCTTTCCTTGGGTACCGATACATTAAGAGGTGACTCGGCAACTGAAACGTGTCTCAATTGTTTCCTTAATTGAACAGGCTTTCGGATGAGCTCTTGCTCTTTATGAAGCTTGTTTGTTTATAATTTATTACCTGTTCTGTCTACATGCCTTTAATGAACGATTTCACCTCATCTGCGTATCATTGCACTTGATTGGCATTCTATTTCCCCTCTTTTACCTATAGGATGTGTGAAAACAAGGACATGTTGTCTGTAGAATCATCAACTTCAAGCTTCCTTTTGATATTTCATCAAAAATTGATTTTTCTTGGCTACAATGCTTTCAAAGTAAAAGGTCCTTGCATTAACATTCTTGGGTACCATCGCACCAGGATGACCTAAGAACATATTTTTCCAGCACTATGACATTCTCTAATATTTGGTGTTAGGTGCTAAATTTTTTGTTTTAATGTTTTTGTTAGAAGCTCTCAACTGACTACTCCTAGGGAGGAACTCATTGATCAAAATTGAGATAGCATCATTATGCTCTAGTGGTAATTGTTGTGGCTTGCTTTGACAATGGTGGCTGATCAGTGGAAGAAACGTCTACGTGCTGCCAGCACTGTTGACTATTCTCAGGAACCCCATGGATTGAAGAAGAAGAAGAAGAAGCAGGGATTAGCAAGATATAGTTTGAAGTTAAGATCCAATGTTTCTCTGGTCTGGGATGACAAAAAAAGGTGTGTTCTTGCCAAGAAGGAGCAAATTGGCATTTCATGGAGAGACTTGACTCCCTTTTTGGATTCTCTCTCCCACCATCATAGTATACTGGCTGATGTTTTTACTCTACCTCACGGAATTTTTGAATTCGAAAATTTAAGTGAGGTCCTCTCGCACGAGGTAATTGTCTATGAAGTTGTGTATGCTGAATATACTGGAAGCTATGACTTTCCTTGTGTCTTACGCTATGAAAATTGATATAGGTCTGGCAGGCAAACTTGTCAGAAGATGAGAGAGGATTTCTTACCCAATTTTTGCCGGAAGGGTCAGATCCAGATGAAATTGTCTGTAAATTGCTGGGGCAGGAAAATTTTCACTTCGGAAATCCTTTTGTTAAGTGGCAAGTCTTTCTTTACTAAATATCTCCGCATGACAACATTGCACATGTCTGAGAACAATATGTCAGATGTTCTTATGGAAACATTCAATTTTCCATTTTTTACTTATTAGGAATTTGTACTTCAGGTTGCTGTGACTTCTATTGTTACTTCGGACAGTAGGAGTTGTGGTGGGCTCTTGATATTTTATTTTTTATCTGACAGTACTCGGGTTGGTCTTCCCATTTCAGGGAATTATCAAATTTTGATGGGATATGGTTCCCTTTTCTTAGTTTTCTATACATTTAAAAGAAGCTAGGAGATGTTTTTGATATAAATTGAGATTGTGCAGATAAAGATACTGATTTTAGCATTGTGTTCTTCCGATGAGATTGGAAATTATAGTTATCCCACCAAGCAGCAATTGTTTTACGGATGCAAAGAGAGGTCGTGAGGCACATGGAGAAGAAAAGATGAACTAAGGCTTCTTAGTGTCTATGGATGTAGTTTGGTATGACCATAATATGATACATTAGGTTGTAATACAATGGATCAACTCCTCAAAAAAAAAAAAGATCAATACAAGGGATTTTGAGGATCATAATACATGGATGTATCATCTGTAACTGTGCCATATCCTCATTTTGTGTTAGATAGTGTAGAATACTTGATAATGTGAGCATGACAGGTAGCCTGTGAGGACCAACAAGAGGAACCAAACACTTAAATTTTAACAGAACCTAATATGAAGTGCAATCGACCTACCACACATTGGCTGTTAATAATTTCCCTAGCGTAGTCCTTAATTTTACCAAAGTCCTTTCAAGTTAGGAGTCTAGAGAAGCGTAGGCTTTCTCTATTATGGCACAAGCATGTTCTTATAATTGTTTTGGTGTTGAACTGTAGTTCTCTTAACCGTCTGAGACCTCTTTTTTACCTCCTTAGTTGTTGGGCGTATTCTATCTGATCCCATAACCTTCTAATTTTTTTTTGGTTGCTACAGACTTTTGTTGACTAGGTGCTTAATTATGCACTTATTAACCTTGTATCTTACATCATTGTGCCAATTATCTGAAATAACATCTCTAAATCAACATCTCAAGTTGCAAAGAGGTTAGCATAGACTACCTTATGACAAGTAGTATGTTTCATCAGAGGCGGATCCAGGATTTGAAGTTTATGGGTTCCTACAACGATCTCAAGTTAATAACTGGGATCACAGTCAAATATTTGTAGATGTTTTAATGAATAATACATATACAAGGTTTGGGCAAAAGCTAATTGGTTCCCTGGAACCCGCATCTTAGCCTCTAGATTTGCCACTGGTTTCATGACCATCAGCACTAGCAGCCCCAGCTGCTACATAGCTTTTCTGCATAGCATCTAGTAGATAATCTTTTAACTCTTTCATTTTCAAGTGCTTTATACTTTTGATTGGAGAGATTTTGACTATCGCTGAGCATTAAGGATAATTTGCCTTTAAAATACTTTTCTGTTTCTAGTTATAGTTTACTATGCATGCTTAACTATGCATTTATCTGGACTTGTGTGATTTGACCCCTTACAGAGATGTTATGTGAATTTCATGTTTAAAAGTCTTTGGTATCTTTGCAGGGGTCAGATGATTTGTTCTGGTAGCTTTCACCCTGATATTGTTATGCGTCAGGAACATCTTCTCAAGGCTAACAAGAAGGCGTATTACATGGAATTACAAAATTACCATAATAAGTATGCAGTTTTCTTAACTGTCCTTTTTAAACCTTATTTTCAGAACATTTTACTGTTTGCGTTACATTTTACTTCTCGTGGCAGTATGATTGAGAAGTTGCAGTTATGGAAGGAAAATGTGGAGAGCTGTAAAGACTCTGAGGAAGAATTGGTGGAGAGAATATTGAGGTGAGTTCTCTTTCATTGTCTTATATCATAGGTTTCTTTAGGATCTCAAAAAAGCAACTAGAAAATTTGCTTCCCAGCAATAATGAAGTAAAGGAAAAGAAAGGGAGTGAGACTTTTTTATGCATATATTTATTTGAATGGAAAATGGAAGTTAAAAAAGAGAAGAGAATTAACTTAAGATTGCAGAATATTTTATTGTTTGCATTTTGAGTTTTGCTAAACTTTGTTTTTGAAGTTTCCACCTTCAGTGGAAAATGCAGTAAACGCGTAATGTTATCCACATATCGGCTTGAATTGTGCCACTAATTTAGTGAAAAACATCATGTGTTCTCTTGGGTTTCTTTATGTTTTGCCTTCTCCTCTGTCTCCACTGTAAACTGAATATGTGTTTCCCACTGTCGACTATGTCTTAATATAATTCCATTTCCGAACCATACAGAGTTTGGTCAAGTGAAACTAAAGATTAAAAGCTCAGGTTCAAAAAATTCATGAAATGTTTGTGTGAAAAATCCTCAAGAAGAAAAGAACTGAGTAGAGCGTAATTTATAATTATTTTGATGTCAAATGATTTCATTATTTACCTAGTAAGAAAAGTCGAATGATTTCGTGATTTACCTCGTAAGAAAAGTCGAAGGAATTCATTGCCCAATAGAGCCTATAATTCTTCAAAATGATGAAAAGTTTGAAGAATTTTTTTATAAATAACTTGACTATAACGTCTTAAAACTTGTGTCCGCCCATGACTTTCTTGTTTACCAAACGCCAGGAATACTTTAGGATTTTAGACAGTGTTTAGTTGATGAGAATTTACCTCTTTTCTTCTTTCTTTTCACACTAAAAAGTCGATTCACTATTGGTTTGCAAAGGAAATTTCCGGGTTAGGAACCAAACCACTTCATTGATAAATCTGAAGACTTCTTTTCCTCTTTTTTCCATGCCGTTTTCTTGTTGAGCCTGAATTTCATGGAATCTAGGACAACCTTTTTATGACACCTGAATCTTCATCTCGGCATGACAAAGGATGTAGTAATGAACGCCTGAACATTTTGATGTTGGATGGGGATAGTCAGAGAGGGTATACTGTCTTTTGCCTTGAGCACTGTCTTTCTGTATTGATCTCGATATATAAGGAAATTTAAGAAGAAAGAAAGAAGCACATGAAAAGAGATAAAGGATAACTCAGAAGAAATATTGAAATCGTTTTGACAACTGCACTAAGTTATGCCAGAGTAGAAGTTTCATGCAAAGTTCCTTTTGGTTCTTTTTTCTTGACATTGTTGTTCTTGAATTGAGTTTAACCTTTTTGGTTATCAATAAATCTGTTTGAATAAAGTAGATGAAAATAATTTATTGCATGAAGAAGCAAAAGAGAAGATAGAATAAGCTTACACTATGACTTCTTAAATTCTGGTTGTATGCTTGTGATTGTTATTATGGTAATTGCATCTTTCCCACTATAAGGGAGCATGACAGACGTGCCTTTTTGGTATTCAGAAAGGGCTTCACAGAAGGCACCTATGGCAGTTCACCTGATGGAGCTAAGGTGATTGGAAGGTCTAGGAAAGGAGAAAAGCTAAACAGGCGCAATATCCAACACAGCGATGGCGCCAAATACATGTCTTATATTAAGGTGGCTATGCTTTGGTTGGAACATCTTATGAATCTATTTAAAATTTTCCAATGATCTTGATTTTGTTTGTTTTCTCACCAAAAATCGGAGATCTCACATGTTGCAGCCATTATTCAGCAAGATGTTAGCCCAGCCATTTTGTCTCTTGAGTTCTTACATAGAATGCTTTTCATTTCAGTCCTTCATGTGTGGAAATTCTGTTGGGACTCGTTGATTATATGGAATTTTCTCGAGTTCCAATGGCTGATACACTTTCTCCATCCTTCTTCCCCTCCTTTCTTCATCATATTTCAGGTCAGTCGAGAACACTACCAACGTGTTAAGAACAGCATGAAGCATAATAGTAATAGCATTCAGCCCAGGTCTCTGAGCAACGTCTTAGGTGATATGGAAAATCTCCATGTACAGCCATTTGAATTTTATGAGGAAGAGGAACGTCAGAAGTTACATGACCACTGGTTAGTGCTGTGGAGCAAAACGTTTCTTCTAGTTTATCAATGTTTTCCACATCAGTTCATAGTGTGTGTTTGTACAGGCTGCACCTGGCAAACAGAGATGTCCCTGCTGGTTTTGCAAACTGGATACAGAGACGTTCACAGGGATTGCAAGTGAGAAGATCATTAGGTCAAGAAATGGAACAGAAACTGAAAGTCCAAATTAAGGTCTATCTTAGGAGTGCATCTTATATATCCAAGTTCCCAGAATCTCCTGAATTATCTGACAATTTGTTTTACTTGGTTTATCAGGGGGAAGAGGAAAAGATCCCCGATGGGATCTTTGCAGAACTAACTGATACTAAAGAAGAAGAAGAGAGAAGGAGCTCTGATGGGATCTTTGCTGAACTAACTGATAATAAAGAAGCAGAAGTTGCACTCTCAATGGAAGTAGAGGTTTATACTTTTAGCTTATCTCCCCTTTGTGTCTGGGGGTCATTGTGGTTTTATCTCTTCACCTTTTGAGGAATCAGTTTTGAAGATTATATTCTTCTGAATGGTTTTCTTGTTTTTTCTAATGGTAGTTCCAGATAGTCTATCTTAGTTGTCTAATTGTTAAATTGTCTAAGTTTGCTCTAGGTTGATCAGCAAGAGGGCAACGAAAAATCTGATGGGTTGATTGAGAAGCAGATGGAAAGCGAGATAGTAGATAATGAGCTTTCTCTACACTCGGAGGTCAGTGATACTATTAAAAAACCAAATGTATAGAGGCGAAAAGTCTTCACCTACATTCTTATAATTCGTGTATGTCAAAGGGAAGATGGTCTCCTTGTTTAATTGTTAAATTGTTTAAGTTCCCTCTAGGTTGATCAGCATGAAAGCAACGAAAAATCTGATGGGTTGGTCGATAAGCAAATGGAATGCGAGATAGTAAATAATGAGCTTCCTCTACAGCCGGAGGTCAGTTTTACTAATAGAAAACCAAGTTTATAGCGAAAAGTCTTCACCTACATTCTTACAATTCGTGTATGTCAAAGGGAAGATGGTCTCCTTGTCTAATTGTTAAGTTGTCTGAGTTTGCTCTAGGTTGATCAGCATGAGAGCAACGAAAAATCTGATGGGTTGATCGAAAAGCAAATGGAAAGCGAGATAGTAAATACTGAGCTTTTTCTACACTCGGAGGTCAGTTATGCTGATAGAAAACCAGTTGTATAAAGGCGAAAAGTCTTCACCATTCTTACAATTTGTGTATGTCGAAGGGAAGATGGTCTTCTTGTCTAATTTAAACATTTTCCAAGTTTGCTTTAGGTTGATCAGCATGAGAGCAACGAAAAATCTGATGGGTTGATCGAAAAGCAAATGGAAAGCGAGATAGTAAATACTGAGCTTTTTCTACACTCGGAGGTCAGTTATGCTGATAGAAAACCAGTTGTATAAAGGCGAAAAGTCTTCACCATTCTTACAATTTGTGTATGTCGAAGGGAAGATGGTCTTCTTGTCTAATTTAAACATTTTCCAAGTTTGCTTTAGGTTGATCAGCATGAGGGCAAAGAAGAATCTGATGGATTGATCAAGAAGCAAATGGAAAGAGAAATAGTAAATGATGAGCTTCCTCTACAGCCAGAGGTCAGTTATACTAATAGAAAAACAATTGTATTGATTGTTGAGGCGAAAAGGATTCACCTAAATTCTTACCAACTTGTGTATTGTCAAAGGGAAGATAGTCTTCTTAAAAACACGGGCCCTGTCTCGTTCAATACAAATAAATGAGTGGTAGAATATTCAGTTAAGAGCTTTTAGTTAAACCATAATTTTCCTGAGAAGAAATCTGTTAGATTTCCTATGTGCTTGATAAGATTCAAATAAAACTCTTTGGGTTATATGATGGTCAGGATCAGGAGGGAGGAGAATCTGCAAGCTTATGTGATAAACAGACTCCTGATAGCACAGCTAACACTGATTATGATGATGAATCTCTCCCTGTCTCACTCAATCAGCATCTTGATCATGTTTCACTTGTTGAGAGCAATCAGTTAGACCACTTTAAGCTGGACTCTAACGAGAACCATATAATCCAGCAAGCAGATGAAGTTTCTCCAACTCTATCAGAGTATCCAGAGGAAGGGTTGAATAATGTGGATGGTCCTGTTGATCAGGGGGATCCTCTTGCTTCTACCAGTGTTGGTTGGCCAGCAGTTAGCATAGCTACTTCTTATGGACGTGCCACTCCCATAAGTCATGAATATTCTTCTGTTGAGGAGTTGTCACTTGGGCATCCTCGAGTTACTGATGAGCCAGCGGCTAGTCTTATTAATCTGGGAGCTGTCCCTACAGAAAAGGATGCTGGGAGGGATATGTTGCCCAGAGAACCCAGTGATGTTTCTCTTTTTGGTTCATACCCTCAGAACAGGAATGAAATATTTCAACCATTTTTTAAAGGTCCAGATAGTTTATCTTACAATCATGAGCATAGACAGCCTCCACTGGTGTACCAACCATCAAGCAATCTGATCGTGGAGCCAGGTCAATATTCTGGTCATTTAAGGGAGCAGCTTCATGCGCAGTTACCATTGGAGCTAAGGCACAAGGGACTGAATGATCTCCTCATGCATCAGAACTTTCAGGAGAATCTATACCCAGATGGAGGTCGATACTCTTTCCCTAGGCATGAGCAGTTGAATGTTGGCATGCAAGATTGGGCTGTCAATTCTGTTCATGTATCAGCACCGTCTCAAACTCATTTAAGCAGTGGAGACTTGTTAAGTCAGAATTGGTTCTCTGGAGATAATCATGCCCGTGGGGCCTGGTCTACTTTGGAAGGTATTGGTGGTCCATCTCAGAGCATTGGAAGTGTAAACAACTCAGATCAGAGCTTGTACAGTGTTTTATCTGAATGTAACACACTGCATCAGAGTGGCTCTTATGATCTATCAGGATCAAGAGAACGGTTGATCCCTTCAAGGAACTATGGTGAGATGGGTGTGGGAGTTACCACAACGAGCAATGCCTCGCTGCAACCAGCTAAACCCCTTAGTTACATGAGTAGCCAGGAAAGTCCTGGAGGCCTTAAACCCAATGGTCTCGGATGGGTGAGCATGTCTACTCAAAGTCCTGGGGTACAGGATCCGATGGGTAAACCATTCTTGAGGTCCTGGAATCCGTAGGGATGTTGCGTTGCAAAATGATACGTGGCTCCAAGAGTCCGCAGGACAAAAGTTGATGTAAACTTGTACACCACGAGATGCAGCCAGATTTTATTGCAATTGTTTTGAGGTGAGGCTGCTGCAAGGCTTTTCTTGATGATGTCAAGCCTCATAGGCATTTTGTAAATACATACATTAGACAAATCTAATGTCTGTGTATATACTAGATATAGGGAGATTGGTTTAGTTATGGAGATCCAATGGTTCTTTAACTAGATACTAGATATTTAGATAATATAGTCTTGCTAGTATTTTTCATTTTTTTCTTTGTTAGTAAAATAAAATCTCCCCTATTTTGTTCAATGCTTTCCTTTCAGTACAATTGTTAAAAAATCCTTCTGACAACATTACCTACACCTAACGGCAGAAATGAGGTTTTGCGCTATGTACTTTGGGCATTATGTTGTTTTATTTTAATACGGAAATTGTACTATCACTACCAGCTTAATGTGGTAACCGTCATGATTCGCTCATTAATGTTTTCTCTGGATGCATTTGGCTAAATTCAAATTAACGAGACAAGAGGGTTGTATATTGTTTTAAAAACATTTTACTTCATTTAGAGTGATTTATCGACTATCGTGGATTCGTTGGTACGCAAAAGTCTTGGTAGAATTTAGGAGTTAATCATAAGGGGAAAAAATTGGCAATGCTCAATAACACTTATGTATTGGTTAAATCTGACCGTGACGGTCGAGCTGACTAATGTCCCGCCTAAGAGACTGGGCAGTAAAAGATAACATAGCCCACTCTACATCCCATTCTCGACACCCGTCGAGTCAAAAGGAGCAATGTCTAAAAGAACGACCAAGGCACACTAGATGCCAGAGAGCGTTGGACCAAGTAAATGGCAAGGGTGCCTTGACTATATATAGTAGGGGAAAACCTTCGATTAAGAGGGTCTGCTCCCTATTCTCTCTCCCAAGATCTCTTCTTGTAATCTTTATGGGAAAGAAGTAATCTGCAGAAAAATATGTAAAGCTATCTCCCCCATCGATTGATGGGAGTCACGAATTTCAATAAGATCAACTTTATTTCTTTCATCCTATGTATTATCTACACTATTAGCTCTTTGATCTAGAATTTATTATGTATGACTAAGATTTACCCCTTCATTTTCTTTGATTGATTTATTCAAAAAGGTTCCAATATTTTTTGAGTCAAACAATTTGGCGCAGTTTGTGGGGATTTCTTAGTGAAATTTCCTAGTCTCTCCCAGATCAAAGATAAGAAACACGATCACCCACCGAAAAGAGTGCGAAGGAAAAACCCAACCCACGCGGGACAAAGGCGCAGCATGATAGGGGGGAGAGCCGAGCAGAATCACCAAATTTCGAAATCTTTGCCCCATCAACCATTAAAATGCCAAACAAGACGAACAACGTTGCCAACCTATTCTCCTCCATCGGACCATCGGGTGGAGGCAAGGAAAGTATCATTCTAACTCACTTTCTGCTCTTTGCCCAAGTAGGAACATAAAGGCCGCGCGGGCGAGCGAGTAAAGAAACATCTCAATTAAAGGACGAAAAACTACTGCAAAACTACCAAAATACTGCCCGCCGCCGACTCCCCTAAGCCGGAAGGCAGGAGTCACACAAGGAAACTACAACGTGTGCGCACAACGAACCTAAGCGAAATAGCAACATTTCGTATTCTCCGATGTTGCACCCTCTGATGCAAGCAATGTCAAACGAACTAGGACTCCCCCGGAAAATGTCTGATTCTCCAAAACCTGGGACTGACGACGGGCTACTATTTCGATAAGTTCAAAATAACACCCTTTAAGGCCAAGGGCCTTCGCCAAAAAGAAGAGTTCGACCTAGATCGAACGACGACGGGTTACTAATTCAATAAGTTCGAAATAACACCCTTTAAGGCCAAGGGCCTTTGCCAAAAAGAAGAGTTCGACCACGATCGAACGACGAAAGGTTACTATTTCGATAAGTTCGAAATAACACAATTTAAGGCCCAGGGCCTTCGCCAAAAAGAAGAGTTCGACCTCGATCGAACGACGACGGGTTACTATTTCGATAAGTTCGAAATAACACCTTAAAGGCCAAGGGCCTTCGCAAAAAAGAAAAGTTCGACCTCGATCGAACGACGACGGGTTACTATTTCGATAAGTTCGAAATAACACCCTTTAAGTCCAAGGGCCTTTGCCCAAAAGAAGAGTTCGACCTCGATAGAATGACGACGGGTTACTATTTTGATAAGTTCGAAATAACACCCTTTAAGGCCAAG